CATCATTAATAAAGGATCACCAAGAATACCTGCATCACTCACTAAAGATGTCCAAGGCTATACCACATCATACACAAAGGATATACCATTATCCTGCACCAAGGATATGCCATCATCATGCACCAAGGATAGCTGCCCAGATGTTCAAAGCATATCCTGCTTTTCACCCAACATTATTAATCAAGCAGTTAAAAATTCTCATCTCAACACACCAAAAGCCACACTCTTGTTTTAGGAGATTATGAAATTCTGTTGTCATTCCCTTCTTTTCATCAATTAGCTATTATAAAGTTGCACGTATTTTGCAGAAATTTAACTTTCGGGTCGTTTATTCTTCCATCAATAAAATTCCGAGTTCCATACTCAAGGACCCCATTCCGGATATGAATTCCTGGGGTATTTACAGGATTCCTTGCCAGTGTGGTTTAATTTACACTGGCCAAACTAGGAGAGCCTTAAAATTTCGCGTTAAGGAACATGAGGCATCTGTTAGAAAAAAGGAAACACAGAAGTTTTCAATTGCCCAACATTGTTGGTCCGAAAATCACAATTTCAATTTTTTCTGCTGTCAAAATTGTTCAAAAAAACATCTTCCATTGCCGAACTGGATTTTCTAGAGCCATTTTACATTCAAAAAAAATCTTTCTGTTCTAGTTAACGACCCTGATTCCAATCCATCTTTGCCTTCAGCCTTTAAAGAAATTATCTTTTAATTCTGGTTTCATCAACAGATGGCGCCAGTAGCTTATCTCCTGTTCAGGCTTTCTTATCTAATCATTATATCTTATCTCGTTCATTTGCACTTTTGCAGCTGAGGATGATGGTTCAGTAAAACCATCAAAACTTGTCCTTTGAAAATATAACACGATTTTTGTTGTTTGACTTCTAAATTAAATCCTGCTGGTATTTATGATGTAAAGCGTTGGCCAAGAGAGGTGGCCATTTTATTTTGGAGGCACCTAATAGGCAGCCGTTGTTACCTCCTATGAATAGACTGACAATTTTACGTCCATGCCTTCTCCAGGACTCGAACCTAGACCCTTTGGTATAGCAGTAGGCTTCCCTAATAACTATACCGTCTAGACGGCATGGGAAATGTTGATAAATACCAAAACTTGAAAAAGTTAGCCTTTTATATTCACAAACTAAAACTAAATACTTAACAATCTAAATTAAAGGCTGACAACATTCTCTCCATAAAACTATGAAATTTCTCCATTCAGGGAAATTTTCTTTAGTTGGGAACCCCTGTTCTGTTAGATTTTTTTAGAGCAATAGTTTAGCGCGCTCTGGAAGCATTGCTTTCATAATCTTTGAAAATTTCAAATCTGTATAGCAAATATATTCTGAATGCAAAAGTTTTAAAGTCCCATAAAAGACCATAATATTACGTAAGAACACCAATAAAATTTTAAAAACTAACTCTTACAATGAAATGTTGAAAAAAATGTGTGCAAAATGTACGAAATGGGAATTGTATGAAATGGGAAATGTATGAAATGGAAAAATTTTTAAAATGACGCGATAAACATCATAATCTTGAAACTACCTTTCCCAGCCGTGCCGAAGGAAGAAGCGATTCTGTGTCATATTGTGACATATTTTTTTTAATATAAAATATTGTCCAAGTAATATTTTTTTTCATTCTTGCTGTAATTATGAGACTTAGTTTAGTCCTTGATAATCCTCTTTCTGAAACGAAAAGGATAAATGTAATTTTTATGATTTATTTCTTGTGTAATGTAAACAAGACAAGCTTCTCGTAACAAATCCTTTGCGAAAACATCCCTCTGCACTGGCATAAACTCTTTGCTTGCTTTTCCTTAATCTTGTAATTTAAGTTCACATGTATATCGAAGATCATAAACATACATATTTGCTTACTAACGTTATGTGCATTTCGGTCTATATAAAATATTTCCTTTAAATAAACTCCAATTTATTCTGGTACCACAAACTACAATATATGTAAGATGTTTCAGAAGACATGGCAGAAAATATTAAAATTTTTCTTATAGGTGATTATACCGTTGTATTATTTAAAAACTCATTATCCAAAAATGCAGAAACATTTCGAATATGATATTATTGACTGTAAGCTCGTGAAGAGTTTGTTTCATAATCCGTAAAAAATTTTAATCGATACATTTTAGATGTTAAAATTTTAATATCGTAAGTATCAAATAGCGGAAAAATTGGAAATTCTCCACTCTGTTACCCGGCTCAGTGATCTCAGTTTCTTTACTCTTATATGTTTGTAAATTGTACATTTTTTGCTTTAAAAATGATTGAACTATGTTGTTCTTATCTTGCAGTCAAGGTTTTTTATGCCTTAAGTAAATCTGTATGCAATATTTTTAGAATTATCAACAATTTTAAAGTTGTTTAAGTGCCGCTAAGCCTTTTTTTTTATGGCGGCCATTGCTTGTTTACATTTGAAACAGCAGAATAGTGGATTTGTTGCCAATCTAGAAAAACTTAGCTTCGCAACAACAAAGATAACGCCTTCATTTATTATTGATAATTAAATCATTACCATTCAATGTACTAGGCTTAAAATTGGCTTTCGTAATCAACTTATTTTATCTGTTGGTGTCATAATTCGAGTAGTTTTTGTAATCGGTCAGTTCTGTGATTTATCGCAATAATGATTTGAAAATTGATGGATAATCAAAGATCCACTGTTTAAATAATTTCCTTTTTAACCACTTCACCGTTTACCTTAAGACACACTTCTCGATTCGAAAAGTGTCGTTAGGCACCAGCAACGAGACACACTAGTCGAGGTTAAATACGACATGGGTCAGTAACCACGATAGAGACTCGTCGCTTCTTGTTTTCCAACCCCCAAAATGGGATGAAAATGGAAAGAGGAGATTTATAGCCTAACTGGTACGCTCTCACAATAGTATCGTCGTATCATGATCATGCAAAGCAAAATTAACTTAAAAAGACTAGACATAGGAATCCACTTCCATCCCCTTTCAGCTGGCACTGTAATGGAAATTACTGCTCATTTTAAAGCGTCAGGAATTGGCATCGTCTTTGTTGATTTTCAGATAAGAGACAAGGGATCAAAATGGACTGCATTCTACTTCCTAGGGGGATGTTATTCAACATCATTGTTGCATGTAACAAGTAGATAGTTTCTTAAAGAAGTCTAAATAACTCAAGAAACGCTTTTAAGGCCAATTTCAGAAGCAAAACGTTTATCTTTGGAGGTAAAAAAAAAAAGAAGCAAATATTTGAGTTTTCTAAGACAGTGAAGTGGTTAAAGAGCCAAATAGCACTATCTGAAATGAAATGTACTTTTTCTAATACTTTACATAAACGAAATATGTGAAATGATCGCTGTTTACCCACATATATCTCCTTTTTACTTCCTTGTACGAAGTAAAAAGGAAGTATTGTAATCGCGAAAAGTTTCAGGCAGCATATTTCAACGAAAATATTCATTTTGACCGCTATCGAATGAAATTTAACGATGTTTTTGCGTAATATCTGTACGTAAGGACAGAATGAAACATTCTTTTCCTCCAAAAAAAATTATAAAACTGCATTAAAATGAATTTTGAAGAGAATTTTTCGTGGCGTCTGTACGAACGTATGTACGTATCTCGCATAACTCAAAAACGAGTAGCCTCAGAACGTTGAAATTTTGTATATAGGACTGCTTTAACATGTAGATGTGCACCTCGTATTTTGGTTGCAATCGGCCGCACCAAACGTATATAAATATATTTATATATATATCCACTCTGTTACCCGGCTCAGTGATCTCAGTTTCTTTACTAGTATATGTTTGTAAATTGTACATTTTTTGCTTTAAAAATGATTGAATTATGTTGTTCTTATCTTGCAGTCAAGGTTTTTTATACCTTTAGTAAATCTGTATGCAATATTTTTAGAATTATCAACGATTTTAAAGTTGTTTAAGTGCCGCTAAGCCTTTTTTTTTATGGCGGCCATTGCTTGTTTACATTTGTTGCCAATCTAGAGAAACTTAGCTTCGCAACAACAAAGATAACGCCTTCATTTATTATTGCGAATTAAATCCTGCTTAATTCTTTCTGGAATTTTTTCGAGGAAATAAGTGTTTGAGATTTACTTCATAATTTTTAATATAGATATTTTGACTTTTTATGTATTTTTGCCTTGTCGCGAAGTGAGAACTGAATTAATTGAATGAGAAGTGCTCAGTCGTCTGTGAAAAACTGTTTCTTTTTTGTTTTGTTTGCTTAATTTCTTTTATACATCATTCTAGCTTTATTATAGTATTTGAATAGAACATGTGGCAGCGATTAGATAATTCTTTAAATGATATAAATTTAGTGCATTCTGAGTTATAATATGATTTTGCCTAGTGCACTTTAATGCGATCTAGTGGCGAAAACTCTTTCGTAGTTAATGACCAGAAAAAAATAAGTCATAAGTCAAGTTATAATATGAACGAAATATAATACTCTTAAGTGAACCTAGCGCCAGAGTGTCGCTATGGTAAACAAATAGAGTGAATTTTAAAAAATGCATTTATTCTATTGTGGTTTATGCGCTGTCTAGGAAGTAGATTTAATTCAATCCAATATATTTAAATGAAATGCAAGAAAAAATGCGTATAATTTACATGTGTTGTACACATCAGATTTTTATTTATATATAATCGTTGTGCCTCTTTTTGAATGCTAAATCATGCATTTCGGAAAGTAAAACTGCTTTGACAAAACGACTTTAAAAATAATTACAAATTTATTTTATGTTTTGTATTAGTATACTTTTATTTGCCTCGTCTTTTGTACATGTTGTATAAATTGATAGTAGTAGTATTTTGTTGTTGTGTCATTTAGATATGACGTAATATTAAGGTGTTTACCGTTGCATGCTAGTGTAAAGCGCCTTCTGTGAGGTATTTAGTGATTGTGCTTTATTATTTGAACATTTGATGTGGTTGTATTATTCTTTGTTCAACGTACATGTCTGGAAAGTGAATGTGTTCTGTGCAGAGTGACCGAAAGGACTTCTTGACCCATGGCAGCTATGACATCACTCGGATTTTGGCCTATCTGGAAGAGGAACACTTTGTGTGAGCTTTCTGCTGTTATCATCCGCATGATTGGTCCTTTTCTCTGCTGCTTTCTTCTTCTTTCTAGTTCTTTTGCTTATAATCTTAAAAATGCATGCTGTTTAGAAATTTTCACTCTATGCATGGATTTTATTGATTTTGCTAACTTAACAAAATTTTTAAACCTGACATAAATTTAAATAAATTTTAAATCTTCGCTATAATATAAACCTATAACAATTTTTTTAAACCTGACAGAAATTTAAATTTTAAATCTTTGCTATAATATAAACCTATAACAAAATTTTTAAACCTAACAGAAATTTAAATAAATTTTAAATCTTTGCTATAATATAAACCTATAACAAAATTTTTAAACCTGACAGAAATTTAAATAAATTTTAAATCTTTGCTATAATATAAACCTATAACAATTTTTTTAAACCTGACAGAAATTTAAATTTTAAATCTTTGCTATAATATAAACCTATAACAAAAATTTTAAACCTAACAGAAATTTAAATAAATTTTAAATCTTTGCTATAATATAAACCTATAACAAAATTTTTAAACCTGACAGAATTTTAAATAAATTTTAAACCTTTGCTATAATATAAACCTATAACAAATTTTTTAAACCTGACAGAAATTTAAATTTTAAATCTTTGCTATAATATAAACCTATAACAAAACTTTTAAACCTAACAGAAATTTAAATAAATTTTAAATCTTTGCTATAATATAAACCTATAACAAAATTTTTAAACCTAACAGAAATTTAAATACATTTTAAATCTTTGCCATAATATAAACCTATAACAAAATTTTTAAACCTAACAGAAATTTAAATAAATTTTATGTCTTTGTTATAATATAAACCTATAACAAAATTTTTAAACCTGACAGAAATTTAAATACATTTTAAATCTTTGCTATAATATAAACCTACATAAATTTTTGTTCCCAAACCTTCTACTATTACATTTAATCATTTAAAAACAAATTCATTTCCTGGTACTAATTTTTGTTTGTCGGTTTTATATTTATTACAGATTTTATTTTGGTAATATGATGAATACATAAAATAAATTAAAATAAAAGAAGTTATCTTATATCAGAGCAATATTAAATTTATAATCCGCAAAACGTACACAACTAATTGTATCTCTAAATATAAAGGATTCAATTTTGAAACAATTATTGTAAGTTTATTTAAATGCAGTTAAATAATGCTGAAAATGTAAATTCAGTATTGAAAGAATAAATGAAATGACCCATAAAATGAAAGCTATAAAAGATCACAAGAAGTAATTTTAAAAACGAAATTTTAGAAAAAAGCAGCGTATATAAAGAAGCCGATAATAAAATTAATATCAAATTTAAAAATGTCCTTAAAATGGTGTTAAATTTTAAGTTTTAAAACTAGCTTGAATAAGTTGAAAAGAAATATTAATATCAAACTTAATGAAGATATTGTATCTGAGTTAAAATCATAAACGTTTGGTTTGTATTCGCTGATAAAGCATGACTTTATGTATAGTCAAAAAATAATTTGCGTAGTAACATGCTAATAGTAAAAAAGTCTTATTTCACATAATTTTATAGTCAAAAAATAATTTTCGTAATAACATGCTAATAGTAAAAAAGTCTTATTTCACATAATTTTATTCAGAAAAGCCGTAGTTAATAATTTCATTTTATGTATCAGTTGTTTCCTTTTAGAAGAACTGTATAGACAAAGCATTTATTTTCTTTCGAATTTTTATTCCTTTCAACCATAAAATAATTGTTTTGTAATTAATACAAATTTCATTAACAAAAAGCTATTTTTGCTTAAAATTTTATTTCCGAAGGGCATTATTTTTTTTATCTCAGCATGTTAGAAATATTTTCCTTTTAGCGATATAATTTTTCATCAAAACTTTCTTCTCTTTGAATGCATAAATTTATTTTTTCTTGAGTTTAACAGTGAAATAATATACTTGATTTCTTTGATTCTTAAAAATTATCTTTAATGCTTTTTGTATGTGTTACATTAAAAAGTGGTTACATATACTTGAAAACTATTCTTAAAACACACAAAACATTTTCAAAAATGGCAGTTTAGAAAAACCTTTAGCTTTGAAATTAAAAGGTGGGTTTTGCATGTTAATATAGGCGTCTTTGCTAAAAAACGTAATTTCATAATGCAGATCAAAAGCATATTAGTCCGTTTAAAAAATTTATTTTTGTGATTAAGCAAAATTACCATTAAATTACGTTTCTCAAGGTTAGAATATTAAAGCAATAGTGATGGTCTTTAATTAAAAATATAGATTACAAGAAATAGCCAAAAACATTAATGAATCCAAAAATAAGGGTATGAAAACTAGCTTTATTTTAAATTTAGATTCTGCTTACCTAGCATATTTTTCAAGTATATTTATTGGCCTGTACGGAAGGTTTGTGCCAATATTTGGCAGGTGACGTAAGGACAGGTCTGAATATATCAAAGCAGTTGGAAATAAATGACATGCATATATGTCATAAAAGACGATACTTCAAGTATATTTGGGAAAAATTTGGTTATGATATTGTTACGAAATGTACAGGCGCGATGGGATAGCTTCCGTGCAAAGCAATTTTAGGGTTGCCAAATTTGGCGAGAAATCGCCCATTTGGCGACAAAATTGTCGACATACTATGGACGGTTGAAGAACCTTCTGGAACGAATTCTTACCGGTTTAGCCCAGAATGTTCCCGAACATAAGCCGAAAGCTATATAAACCCTGCTGGTCCGCAGTCAGTTAGTGGGCTTCATCGAGAGGTCGAGTGTGTGTGCCTCGTCTAGCGAGCTGATAGTCAGTCATTGAACGAGTGTCTCGAAGTCTAGCGCCGAGTTGGTCGTCGAGTGCATGGAGAGAGTCTTTTAGTGCATCGTCGAATTTTGTCTTAGACTGTGCTGAGTCGAGAGCCATACTCTTGTGTATCGTCGAGTGCATCGCGTGGAGAGTCTCGAGTGTACGTGGAGTTCCGAGAACGACTGAAGCGAAGAGTTGGAAGCTGTACTCGGGTGCTTTGCAGTGAAGCTGTCTCCACCGTTATTGCCTGACAATGTGAAGGCTGTGTCGCTGAACGTGTCAGCCTGTTTATAACAGTTCGACGACTGTAAAAGTGATCTTGGAGCTATCTGATTAATATTGGTAAAAAAAGTGCGTTTCGATACTTTGTCAAGTGTCGCCGTTATTCACTCCAAATCTACGAACCCCGTACGAACGTGAAAGAAGAAAATAATGTAACAATACGTTAGTTCTTGTCAGTTTTATATGCCTTTAAAAAATGTGGAAGAAAACAGCACTCTATTACTGGAGATTCAAAAATGTCACATAAGCAGCAAACAATATATGCGCTGTTTATGGCGAAGGGTGCTGTAGCTAAAAGAAATGTGCGGAAATGTTATGCTAGGGTTAAAGTTGTTGACGTCAACCTTAAAGATCAAGAGCACCTGGGTGGGCTCTCCGCCACAGATGAAGATCAGATTAAACCACTGGTCAAGAATAACCACGCTATACAATACGTAGATTAGCAGAAATGTTAAATATATTAAAATCCACCATCCACTACCATTTTGCGAAGATTGGCTACGTAAACCGTTTTGGTGTGTGGGTTCCCCACGATTTAATGGAGAAAAGTCTGACGGATCACATTTTCATTTGCGACTCACTCTATAAATGTAACGAGAAGACGCCATTTTTGAGGCACGTAGCGACGGAGGATGAAACATGGATCATTAATAATAGTTTTGAACGAAAATGATCTTATTGAAAGCGAAATCAACCATTTTTAGCACCCCAAAAGCCGAACTTCATCCAAAGAAGATCATATTCTGTGTCTGGTGGGATAGCAAAGGGATTCTGTATTTTGAGCTTTTACCAAACAACGAGGTGATAAATTCAGAGAAGTATTGTTCCCAATTAAACGATTAAGAACAGCAATTGAAGGAAAACGTCCAGAAATAGCGAATCGGAAGGGTGTGTTGTTTTATCAGGACAATGCGCGGCCTTGATAACTCGACAAAAGTTCTTGGAGCTCGGTGGGGATATTCACCAGACTTCTGATTTCCACCTGTTTCGATCATTACAAAATTCTCTTAATGGAAAAAACTTCAACTCTTTGGTCGAGATAAAAAAATCAGGTAGAAATCTGTCTCGCAGAAAAGTCCTACGAGATTCTGGAAGGACGGAATTTTCAAGTTGCCTGAAAGATGGAGAAAGGTTGTAGAGCAGAATGGCACCTATATAATTTAATAAATTTATACTAAAGTTTAAATCTCTTGCATTTAAACTTTCTTTCAAAATCGGCAATAACCTCCCGGAAAACTCTATTTCTTTATTATTATGACGCAATACATTTGTGTGAAAGTCTTACCAGAAATTGAAGTTTTGCATCTATAGTTTACTAAATAAATTACTGAAAACCCAGAACTTTTAAAAGTAACTAAATTCTACGCTATCCATTTTTTACAAAATCATGTCTTGTTAAAAACTGAAATTTTCCACGTCATTTCATGCATTTAGGTTTTTTCTTCCATTCGCGGGATGACGACAACAGATAGTATGTACTAGTTTTACGACATCATGCTATGGAAGTAACGTAAAATAATCAGATACCTTAAAAGTAAAAAAGACAATCGGTGTCATCAATCAACCTGGGGAAAAAATTCTATGTAGCATAGGCATAATAAGATAAAACTGTCGAAGAAAAAGGGGAAAATGTTGCCTGCCACTGATTAATAAGAGACGAGAATGCTACCCGCAGTGTAAACCGAAATTCTATTTTTTTATCAGTTAATTAGCTAACTGTTTTTATAGTACATTGCAATGCGCTAATTCGAAAGTCCTTTTTTTCTCTAGTTAAAATTTTAGGAAACAAAATCAAGGGTACATTACAGAAATCCAAACTAAATTGCACTACTCCTTATTTAAAAAGCTAATTTAACATCTTATCATATTATTGTTTAAACTTACTTGAGAGCATTTAAG